ATTTTATGATTTATATTTTATTATATAATAGATTAATTTAAAATATAAAATATAAGATGAATATTATAATTATATAATATTATTTAATAAATATATTTAATTATATTAATTCCGTAAGATATATATCTGTATTTTGGCCTTAACTTGGGAAATTTTTAGATATAAAGGAATATTTTAAACATATTATAATATATTTCGATTGCATAAATTTGCGTAAAAATTGGATCCGATTTGGGGAATAATTATTTTTTTTTGAAATTTTATTATTTTTAATATTATTAATTTTTATCTTATTCTTTATAATATTATTATTCTTTACCTTATTTTCCGTAATATTATTATTTTTTTTATATCCTTAATATCAATTTTCTTTTTCTCCTTATTATTATTTTTTACCTTTTTATTTAACATTTTATCTTCTATATTTTTCTATATTATATATATTTTTTTAATTATCATCCTTATTATTATCATTATCTTTGCTATTATTATCATCATTATTATTAATATTATTATTATTAATATCATAATAATTATTATTTCCATCATTTTTAATTATTATTATTATTATCATTACCATTATCATCATCATATTATTATTATCTTCATCGTCATCATAAATATCACTATTATTATTATTATTACCATCATCATCATCATTATCGAATTATTATCATCGAATTATTATTATCGAATTATCATCATCGAATTATTATCATCGAATTACCATGATCGAATTATCATCATTATCTTCATCGAATTATCATCATCGAATTATCATCATCGAATTATCATCATCAATATCACTATTATCATTAATATTATGATATATTATCTTTATATTCTCCCTACACTATTTGAGGATGTTTTTTTATTGAAATATTTTTTGAATTAATATATAATTAATAATTTCTATATTGATATTTGATGTTTGATTAATAATTATAATTCGTAATTGAGATTTGATAATATCTATATAAAAATGTAAAAAATATTAGAAAGAAATTATTTTTTTTATTTGCTAGTTTAGAGGTTTCTTCACCAATATATGATCGATATCCGTTGGTCGGTTGTTGGCTTTAGCGGTCAATGGTTTGTAATCGGCGGTGGCTGGTGGTGGTCGGCATTACGAGAAAAGAATATCGATTATAATAATATATAATTATATTGGAGGAAAACTAGTTGAAATCCAGATATATATTATTTTTTTTCTAGCTGGTCAGTGGTCGGTGGCTGGTAGTGGGATGGCGGCTAACGGTAGTTGGTGATGATCGGTGGCGGTTGATAACAAATAAATATTAATTAATGATCAAGAATTAATAAATTTTATTTTTATATAAATATTTTATATATGGAAATTTATAAAATGAAATTTTCTAAAGAAAAATAAAATACAATTAAACCATAAATTATATTATTATTTGATTTTATTAATATTTTATTATAAATTCGGAATTAATAATTTAATATATCTAATTTAATATATATATATATTTTCCCCATCTGTCAGGGAAAAATTATTAGATTTTATCAGAATTATTTTTCTCCTTCTCTTCCTCCTCCTCCTTTTCCTTCTCTTCCTCCTCCTTTTCCTCCACCACCTCTGCCTTCATTTCCATGTCTATTTCCGCCTTGCCAATTCTTCGCCAAGCTCTTTGCCAACTTCCGCACGCAGTGGACTACTGGACCTCAACTGCAAGGGTCTGAGCGCAGTGGGTACCGCTGGATCTCAACCTGGGACCTTCCGAACTCAATAAGCACTGCTGGACCTCAACCTGGGACCTTCCGAGCTCAATGAGCACCGCTGGACCTCAACCTGGGATCCGCCGATCTCAGTGAACACCACTGGATCTCAACCTGGGACCTTCTGAGCTCAGTGAACACCACTAGACCTCAACGGTCAAATAAAATGCCAGAAAATACCAAATAAAACACCAAATAGCATATCAAATAGAATACCAAAAGATATGCCAGATAAAATGCCAGAAAATATACCAGATAGAATGTCAGAAAATATATCAGATAGAATGCCAGATGGTATGCCGTATGCCCGATAAAGTGCCAGAATGATTGTCAGATAGAATGCCAGAAGATTTGACAGATAGAATGCCAGATAGGATGTCAGAAGATATGTCAGAAAATATGTCAGATAAAATGTCAGAAGATTTATCAATAAGAAATCGATAAATACCATAATAAAAATCATACGAAATAAAATAATTTACAATATATATTTATTTATTCCCATTATTATTCCCTGGGTGGGGTCGCAATGGACCATTTTATAGTTGTCTAGCCTTTTATTCTAGAAAATAATTATAATATATCATTTCCATCCTATAATATGGTATATTTATAATGGTTATGGCGGTTACACGAATCGGAGATATGGTCTTTTTGGAATATCCTGCCTTTCCCATATGGATTACCACGAAAAGATCGAGCCCAATATGGAGTAGCAAAATGGCACGATGGCTCAAACGCCTCCACTGCTCGCAGCTGGTGACATTCGATCAGTGCCTGATGGGGTGTGAAACGAGAAAGCCGACTACGTTACTATTCATCCGTATACAGGGCTTGAGAAAGGAAATTCTTAACCTTGGAAATGGAGGTAGATATAACCATAACCCAGGAGTATACCGCATTCTTATAGGCAAGGACAATAAAGGAATGTTCAATACCGCTGGCTGTCGCTAAGATCTACCCCGCCAAGTTCAACACGGCCATTGCACGAGCGGTCTTCAAATCAGTGAGTGGGTTTGCACATCTAAGGGAGAGGGATAAGCCCCTCCCCGAGTGCCTGGAGGTATTCCTTTCCTATGATTTTGTAAAATAGTCTAAGGTACAGCCCGACTACTACTTTTAAAGTTATAGGTGTTGCAAAATCCGAGCAAGACATTACAATATCTCGAAAAAAAATTAGATTCATAAATTATAATTTTATAATG